GGTCACGCTTCATTGGCAGCATTGATTTTATGTTTACATGTGAAGGGACAGAATATGAGATTACCAAATAAAATATAATTTCAAGTGTTATTAATCAAAGAATATATTACACTCACTTTTAATGAGATCCTGGTGTTGCAGAATGAATCCCAGGAAATCAATGAAAAGTTTAATTACAGTTGTTAGCAGTGCTGTATGAGAATATTGCTTTGGTCAATTTTACTTGTACAGTTTATCAATCCTTTCTGCCTTCCTCTTTCTTTAAATTAATTGCCTTGATGAAGTAAGTATAAATACATTCTTTGTTAGAGTTCAGTGTTTAAATGTGTTACAAAATGCAGATTTCCTCCTCAATGATAATAATTATAATAATAGTCCTGATCAGTTTTTAATGTACATTACAATTTGTACAGTTTTAAATTAGGCAGTGTTTCCATTTTGCAGACTGACTCATTGTTAGGTCTTACTAAAACATAGTCCTTTCCCTTTATCAGTTTTTTGCAAATCACTTTCTGTCTCTTCTTAACTTACGAGTTGACCTGTTAGTCAAAATTTGATGTGCTTTTTGTATCGTTCATCACCCAGTCAAACTCTGGGGCAAGTAAAAAGAAAAACAAGATACTTTCTCCCCTGAATTAACAGTTTTATTTTCATGTAGCTACACACCCTTTCTGGGTTTAAACGAAGTGAATTTTCTTCTTGCAGCATTTTTATCTTGACAGTTCAGTGATTGTTGTGCTGTCTCTCCCACTACGGTGGAAATTGCCCTTTCTTTTTATTTGTTTATAAAACACAATACAAAATGTTGATATGGATACTGAGAGATAGCTAAAGTTACTTTGGTGACTCTGGATTTTACTAATTCTATATTGAGAAAATAATTATGCATTTTCTGTGCTCTTTTAACTCCCATAGTTGTTTACAAATAGTCTACTTTTGGTTTAAGGTTCAAGGCTTTACCATAGAGTCAAGCATTATTTTAGGGGCCCTGGGTGGCTCGGTTGGTGAAGCATCTAACTCTTGATTTCGGCTCAAGTCGTGATCTCAGGTTGTGCGATCAAGCCCCGTGTCGGGCTCCACGCTCAGCTGGCTGTCTGCTTGGGATGCTCTCTCTCCCTCTGCCTTGCCCTTCCCTGCTGCACTCTCCCTCTCACTCTATCTCTCTCAAATAAATAAATCTTAAAAAAAAAAAAAATTATTTCAACCGATTGACTCCATGGGTGGGAGCAATTTACTTAGTTCATTTTGAGAGGGAAAGCCCTCCTGTCTCTTTTCCTTCCAATTCTCCCAGTGACACACCATCAACCTGTCTTCCTGAGTGGTTGAGTTGAGAAGTAACCTGGGTGTTACCAGCCTTTTTTTTCCAGTCCTGGCTTGTCACCACACACGGCGATAAGTGAGGAGTCGCCCGACCTTTCTGGAGAGCTCTTGAGTTGTGCAAAGCAAGATGACTCATTCTGGGACACCGGCCTATCCACAAGGCTTGGTGATTGATGGCGTGTATCTATAAAGAATGAAAAAGCCTCCTCACAGAAGGGAGCTGTTTTGAGTATTCTAAAATAGGAGTTTTGTTTGCTCTAAAACAGGTGCCTTCCTTAGGAGTCATTATATAAGTGCAGGTATGGCTCAGTGGACTGTGAAGTGAGGGGCCGTTCTTTCCCTGTCGTGCGTGGGTAGAATGTCCTCTTAACTTGAATCTGCAAGGGCTGTGGGCGAGTCTGGAGTCACGTGGCATTTTCTTCCAGGTGTAAGTCTCCGTGTGGCTGTTCGCTGGTCTGGACTTAGGTGAGACTGCTGTGCCCCCCCTCGTGGTACCGGATGTGAGCCAGAGCACGCTGCACCCCCGGAGCCGAGGACAGGAGGGGGGAGCCGTGCAAGCTTCCTGGCCGAGGCCAGCTGCCTCTTTTCTCCTATTTGCCTTCAGGTCCTAATCTGCTGCTTGCCTTTTTGTAACCTTTTATCCAAACCTGCGTGCCCATTCCTGTACTTGTCCTCCCAGGACATGTGGACGCACACCACATTTGGGGACGACATCGTTAAAGGAGGGACTTTTTGGCCAAAGGACATATTCTGGTTTCAGGTGACCATCTACACACATGTACTCAAGTCACCTTTGCACGTTGTCATTGAGCCCAATCAAAGAAACACAGAAATGCCAAGAAACCTGTGTCCAGTCTAGACATTAGGGGCTTGTCCATATGGTAAAACAGGAAAGAGCTTCTATATGCTGCTGATAAAACTAGATTGAAGGGCGTGCCAACCAATTCGTGATCATTGGGAGGAGCGGTCAGTTTCCTGATCATTTCTTGCTGCTGTCAGTGGTGGTGCCTCTGGTCCTGCTTCCTGGGGTCCCATCACTGCACCTCATCCTCCTGTGATGTTCTTTGTCTGGGTGTGACACGGTTTCCTTTTCCCCCATCTGTGAAGTTCTGACATTTTTTTTTTTAAGATTTTATTTATTTATTTGAGACAGAGAGAATGAGAGACAGAGAGCACATGAGAGGGGGGAGGGTCAGAGGGAGAAGCAGGCTCCCCGCCGAGCAGGGAGCCCGATGCGGGACTCGATCCCGGGACTCCAGGATCATGACCTGAGCCGAAGGCAGTCGCTTAACCAACTGAGCCACCCAGGCGCCCCGAAGTTCTGACATTTTTAAAAAATATTTTATTTATGTATTAGAGAGAGTGAGCACGAGCAGGGAGAGGGCAGAAGGAAAGAAACGCAAGCCAACTCCCCAGTGAGCACGGAGCCCGAGGCTGGCCTCGAACTCACAACCCTGAGATCATGACCTGAGCCGAAATCAAGAGTCGGACACTTACCGAACTGAGCCACCCAGGCGCCCCGAAGTTCTGACGTTTTTTATACACTTCTTGCCACCGTACTTCATTGATTATCTCGTCCATTCCCTCGGGCTCAGCCATGGTCTCTGGGCAAGTGACTCAAGAGCCTCATGCCTCCCTCCTGCCTCCCCAGGCTCTTTCCTGAGCTCCAGTTTCATCTTCTGTCACTTTCTGTACATTTTTACATGGATATCCTGTGGTTCTTCAAAAGCAGCACATTTTCTAAAGACCAGCCAGCTCGATCACCTTTCCCGGGATGGACTTCTTTCTGTTACTGTTATAATGCTTCTCCAAGTCACCCTGTGGTGCAGCACTTTACCTTTTATCCTCTTTTGTTGTTATTTTGTTTTGTCTTTCTCCTTGCAATTACCAAGTCCTAACAAGTGACCAATCACAATAGCCCTTATATCGGGCGCCTGGGTGGCTCAGTTGGTTAAGCGACTACCTTCGGCTCAGGTCATGATCCTGGAGTCCCGGGATCGAGTCCCACATCGGGCTCCCTGCTCGGCGGGGAGTCTGCTTCTCCCCCTGACTCTCCTCCCTCTCATGCTCTCTGTCTCTCATTCTCTCTCTCTCAAATGAATAAATAAAATCTTTAAAAAAAAACAAAACAAAACAATAGCCCTTATATCTATTTGAGTCCTGCTTTTACTACCCTTAGAGTGGATTAACAGTAGAGCCTCTCCAATTGTTTCTCTGAAAAACCCTCTGCCTGTAGTAAATCACAGTGCCCACTGCTTCCAGGCTAACCTTCCAGTGACAGGTCACATCCTTGCATTGGGCTGTCAGTGACTCTCTCTGCCAACCAACTTGCAAACTACTCAGCTTGAGACCCTGCCGTCTGGCAGCCACCACTCTTCCTCCCCTGTCCCTTCCTCCGGACCTGGCATAGCCATTGACCTGAAAGTCTAGTGGTGAACCACGTAGTCAGCTCCTGCCCGAAGGAGTGCCTGGGGAGGGCCTCCCTAAGACGTCATATTTGAGGGGCGCCTGGGTGGCTCAGTCGGTTAAGCGCCAACTCTTGATTTCAGCTCAGGTCATGATCTCAGGGTCGTGAGATCGAGCCCCGCATCAGGCTTGGTGCTAATCCTGGAGCCTGCTTGGGATTCTCCTTCTCCCTCTGCCCCTCCCCTTCCCACCCCACCCCCACTCATGTGCTCTCTTTCTCTCTCTCAAAATAAAAAAACAGGGCGCCTGGGTGGCTCAGTCCGTTAAGCGTTGGCCTTCAGCTCAAGGTCATGATCTTGGGGTCCTGGAATCAAGCCCCACATCAGACTCCCTGCTCAGCGGCGAGTCTGCTTCTCCCTCTGCCCCTCCTCCTGCTTGTGAGCGTGCTCTCTCTCTCTCTGTGTCAAATAAATAAAAATCTAATAAATAAATAAAGAAAAATAAAATATCATTTGGGAGAGAGGCAAGGTGGAAGCAAGGAGGTCACTTAGGGGACAGGCTCTTGCCATTGTCCAGACAAGATAATAGCTTGGACTAGATGACATGTTTCTCAGCCTCAGCACTCCTGACATTCTGGGCCAGAAAATTCTTTGTTGTGGGGGGCTGTCCTGCGTGCTGGAGGATGTTTAGAGGCATCCCTGGCCAGCGTCTGCCCACCTCCAGCATGACAGCCAAATATGTCTCCAGACATTGCCCAGTGTCCCCAGGGGGCAGAACCATCCCTGGTTGTGAGTCAGTGGGCTTGATGGTGGCATTAGAGGGGGTTTTGAAACACAATACTCTGCAGTCGATGGGATGTCGAGCAGGGCAAGAGACGAGAGACTCAGTAGTGCTTCCTACGTGTTTGGTTTGAAATCCTGGCAGATGGAGTCCGGTTACTTTAGACTCCTGACATTGGTCTTTCTTGCCCCTGTGCCTGTTCTTGGAACTCTCCAACCACCTGTGATGTCGCCCACCCTACCATTCTCCTCCTTTTCTTACCTCCCCTCCTGAAGGTCCAGCTTAAATGCCATCTTCTTGAAGTCTTCTCCGATCAGCCTACCACTGGTGATCCTTTTGCAGTGAATTTCTACAGCCCCGTATCAGTGTGGACCTGTCAGCTTCTGTAAACCCCCAGCAAAGAAGGACCAGGGCCTAAAGGAAGGACCAGCCTTAGCAGATGCTTGAATTACATGGTTTTGCTTCTATCCCTCTGTTCCCATTGGTGGCTGTAGGATTATCATCTCCTTCTGGTCATCCTCTAACCGTTATCTGGACCCCAGAATCATCATCCTCTACAGGTGAGCCTCTGCTCAGGTGGTCCGAAGCTTGTCATAGAATTGGGACACTTATTATATGCTGTCCTGTGTTAGAATTATTGATGTATGACTCTCAGCTCCCTGTCAAGTAGAGTTCCTGAGAGCAGGAAGGAGCCCTTACAGACCTTTATCCCATATACTGCCTGATCAGCACAGTACCCATCACGAATTAGGTATTCAGTAAGTGTTTGTGAATGAATAAGTGAATGCTTGGATCTGGAACATCAATTTTTTTTTTTTTTTTTTTTTTGGTCCTCTTGAATATAGTGGCGTTAAAGGAAAATTAGCATTTCTCTATAATGAACACATAGAATTTTGATAATCAGAAAAGAATTTTTTAATTTTTTTAGTGAGAGAGGGTTAGCCTGCAGTTTGCGTCACCGATGAAATGGATTGGTCTGTATGGAAGAGGGCTGGGTTTTGGCGTTTATGGTCCGGACTGCGCTTCAGTGATGAGATGTCTGCTCTCCTTCTGTCTTGCAGCTCTGGTCGTCAGCACCACTTCAGCCGGATTTGCACTGGCCCCAGGACCTTTTGACTGGCCCTGCTTTCTGCTTACTTCTCTGGGCACAGGCCTTGCATCCTGTGCCGCCAACTCCATCAATCAGGTGAGTGGGTCACTTTTCAGCTCAATCGTGGTATTACTCCTTTTTCCTAGACTGTGGTATTTGTCACATTTTTTTAAAAAAGACTTACCAAACCACATATACAGATGGAGAAGTTCCAGGAACTTGGGACACTGCGTCTCCTGTAGAGGTCTCTGGGTAGCAGAGCTGATCTGTCTCATCTCTTGAGATGAATGGTTTTCGGGTGAGAGAGCGGTCGTGTATCTGCTTCAACTGACCAGGAGTCAGGGTTAGAAGCGTTTCAGAGCCGTCAGACTTTCTGCTCTCATCCGGTTCATGCACATTTCCCTGAGCTTATCATTTTCTGTGTTCTTCTTTCTTTGGTTTGATTTGTTTGCATGTGTTTACATATACAACAATGTATTTGTTTTAAGATTTATTTATTTATTTCACGGGGAGGGGGGCGGGCAGAAGGAGAGAGAGAATCCCAAGCCGACTCCGCACTGAGTGTGGAGCCCGATGTGGGGCTCAGTCTCACGACCCTGAGATCACGACCTGAGCCAAAGCCAAGAGTCAGACGCTCAACTGACTGCGCCACCCAGGTGCCCCAATAATATATTCTAAACAAGCATATCCAGCTTTTTAAAAAAATCAGTAATTCAGTATTCAGTAAACTTGGTGTGTGTGGAATCACAGAATATATTAAAAAATTAATTAGCATATTATTTTTAATGCATCGTTTTGTCCCCCTTTTATTTTAAACATCAAAATAGTTGTCTAAAAATTAGTTCTCCTCCTACCCCTGCCTGGTCATTGTGGTGTGTGCCCCCACGCATCCTTTTTCGTCAGATACCAGAGTGAAAAAGTCTTGGCTAAAACTTAAGGAAAGTCGTTTTCATCACCAGAACACCCACGAGGAGTTGGCCCAGTTTTAAAACAGGAATTCAACTTACAAGTAGGAAAACAGCATGGTCAAGTGGATATATAAGTTGGCATTCTGTAAAATATGGGAATTTTAATTTGATGATGCCTCAAATCATTATGCTTTCACAATGTGTAATCAGCTGTTTGGGGAGGGATCGATCTATTTCAAATAAGGTTTATTTTTTGTTACTATTTTTAATGTCCAAACAGTCTTATAGGGAGGTCCAACTAATCCTGCCACACTCCAAACGTACCGTCCCATCCCGTCCTCTCTTGTAAACCACGGGGCAGCTCTTCCAAGCTGTTCTTCCTTCTGCTCCCCTCCCTTGTTGCTTGGCTAAGAGAAGAATCCTGGTTTCACAATGAACATGTTTTTAATGAAATTTTGAATAGAAAGCAATATAAGCAAAATGGATTTGTGTTGCTATTTTGGGTCTATTTCTCAAAATATTTTTAAAATTATTACTTTTATTTAGTTATAAATCTAGATCATGAGATTAAGCGAGGAACACATTCTAGTTTTCAGGCCCCTTTTTTCAGGTGAAGAGCTGTACTTATCCTTGAGACACTAGCTGCTGTCTCCTGCTTAAATTATATGGATTTAAATAAAAATTTAAAATGAAAGTGTAGACATTTAGAAAAATAGCAACAACTAACTAATAAGCACCAAATGGTTTAGAAGTCCCCAAACATTATAAAAAATAATAGAGTTGCCTTGAGTTTGAGCTGCCGTCCCTCTCCCATCCCCCGCCCTAAAAAAAGGTAGTTCAAGATCTTATCATGGAAAAAAAGGCCTGTCATTAGATGACAGGAAATATCTAGAGAGAAAATATCTAGAGAGAAAAAAATGGAATGATTTACATTTCAGCAGAAATTTCCAGAAACTGAACATAAGCTAAGGTGTTAGAAATTTTAAAAGTCTAAATGCGTTTGGCTGCTTTGTTTTATCATCTGTAGGAAGTATATTGGCTACAAGGGTGATTTAGGGTCTGTGCATCTCAGACTACTGAGAAGAACCAGACGACGTGATGGGATTCTTTCTGGAACCGACAAATCGCATTGTCTGCCTCTGTCTGTTAGCATTCCCTTCTTAGGTCGGCTTCCTAGTCCTGTTCTGCACTCACTCACTCAGCCCTCCGCTTCTTCCTTTGGAACACTCCACGTCCTGCTCCACAGTCGCTCATCCCCTGCAGGCTTCTTCAGTGCTGTGGGTAACATGGGCCCTTAATTTCTTCATTTTCTCGTATTCCTCATATCGCCTCCTTCCACTCACCCTGGGCTCCAGTTTCCTTTGGAAACATCACAGTGCTTAAACATCTCAATGGTCACCGTCATTGTTGAATTCCACTGTTGTTATGGTAACGGTAAGCTTCCCAAATTACAATATTTTCTCAATTTTGTTGGAAGGATTTTAGTTCGAGTATTATTAAGCAGTCACATAAAATAAAGGAAGGTGAGAACATTTTCACTAGGGCCTTTAATTAGTGTAAGCAGAGCGAAGAGCACTGGGCAACAAACCTTTAAGTGAGTTTTGAATAGCAGGTAGATAAAGAAATAGTTGCTGGTGAAAAGCCAGAGCTTGCTGTTTTCTTAGGGAGCTGGTATCCAACTTAAAGAATGCATATATGTGGTTGGTATGGATAAAAGTTTTCAGCTTCTAACAGAGTTCTGTGGGAGACAAAAAATTTCTGTCTGCATTTATAAAAGGATTCGGAAAACATTTCATATTTTTTAAATACTTGTTTTAGCTGTTATTAATTTAGAGTGCTTCTTCTTTGTACCCTACTTCTGTGATCTCTCTGTGAAAGTAGGAAAAATAAAGCTTTGAAAAACAGTTCCTACATTTGTTTTCGGGAGAGAAAATGTGCTTCGGCTTCTGATTTATGAAGTAATGACTAGTGCATAAATATATATATATATATATATTAGAAACCACTAACATTAAAACGTAAGAAGGAATTACATCCATGTTTTGTAAAATATATGCATGCTTCGTTTGAAACCATAGTGAGGCCTGAAAGCGGGTGTGCCTTCCAAGGATGAAAGCCATCCATAAAATTTAGCAACTGAAAGATAAAATGTGGTAGACGGCTTCGACTGCTCGAATCTTGAGAAACAAGCGACTCAGAGTGAAAAGCTGAGTAAATTCAAGTGGAATGAATTTTAAAAATTGAAAAAGATAAGAACTTGTCAGAAAATAATCAGCATAATTGAGTATTTGACGTAGTAGATATTGTTATAATCAACTGTATTTGGGATTGTTTTACTTATGTTACATAAGTAATTTCTTCATTTTCTCGTATTCCTCATCCTACGTGATTTTTTTTTAATAGAGGTTAGGCGTGGATGTCAATAAATACATTTCTGCAGGATCCATTTTATTGGTGACCTGCTCTTCCTCCTGATGGAGGTGCCCCCACTTTCGCAATCCGTGCTCTGTTGTCCCAGCTTTGGGCTTCTGAAACCACCACGCACATTTCTAAGTGTTTTCAGAGGACAAGATAGGAGAAGTGACGTGGATGAGGTGAGGGCTGCCAGCCAAAGCATACATGAGACTGATTTCACTTGGAATGTAGGGTCTTAACAAAATAACTAATTGTTGACATTCATGCAGTGTTTTAGAGTTTACAAAGCATATTTACATAAATTATTATTTAAACCTTACTACCCTGTGAGGTAGGCGGCATTATTGCCATTTCTATTTGTAAAACATTCTGTTTTGCTTTGAATTATTCTTTTTTTTTTTAAGATTTTATTTATTTGTTAGAAAGAGAGAGCATGCACAGAAGGAGAGGGAGAAGCAGACTCTGCTGAGCAGGGAGCCCAACGAGGGGCTCGATCCCAGGACCCTGAATTCATTATCTGGGCCAGAGGCAGCCACGTAACTGACTAAGACACCTAGGCGCCCCCAATGTTCTTTTTAAAAGCAACATTTAAAAAAAATGTGTTATGCAAATAATATTTCCATTGCAGATCAGTGACAAAATATAAATAAGCAAAAATAACAATAACATTCTTTATTTTATGTTTTCCTTGTGCCAGGCACTGCTCTGTGTTTCAGAATTACAGCAGAGGACAAACGGAAACCTCTGACTTTGTAGTGCTTATATCCCACCAGCCAAATAGATTCACTTGTTAACATTTTGATTTGTATTATTGTAGGCTTTTTTTTATACACACACAATCGCCACATATATGTTAATTTCTCATAGAAATGATTTATATGTTGACATATCAGATAAAGGGCTAGTATCCAAAACCTATAAAGAACTCATCAAACTCAACAATCCAATCAAGAAATGGGCAGAAAACATGAACAGACATTTTTCCAAAGAAGACATCCAAATGGCCAACAGACACATGAAAAAGTGCTCAATATCGCTCGGCATCAGGGAAATCCAAATCAGAACCTCAATGAGATACCACCTCACACCAGTCAGAATGGCTAAAATTAACAAGTCAGGAAACGACAGATGTTGGCGGGGATGTGGAGAAAGGGGAACCCTCCTACACTGTTGGTGGGAATGCAAGCTGGTGCAGCCACTCTGGAAAACAGTACGGAGGTTCCTCAGAAAGTTGAAAATAGAGCTACCATATGATCCAGCAATTGCACTACTGGGTATTTACCCCAAAGATACAAAAGTAGGGATCCGAAGGGGTACGTGCACCCCGATGTTTATAGCAGCAATGTCCACAATAGCCGAACTGTGGAAAGAGCCAAGATGTCCATCGACAGATGAATGGATAAAGAAGAGGTGGTATATATATATATATATACACAATGGAATATTATGCAGCCATCAAAAGGAATGAGATCTTGGGTGCCTGGGTGGCTCAGTTGGTTAAGCGACTGCCTTCAGCTCAGGTCCTGGGATCGAGTCCCGCATCGGGCTCCCTGCTCTGCGGGGAGCCTGCTTCTCCCTCTCCCACTCTCCCTGCTTGTGTTCCCTCTCTCGCTGTGTCTCTCTCTGTCAAATAAGTAAATAAAATCTTTAAAAAAAAAAAAAAAAAAAGGAATGAGATCTTGCCATTTGCAACGACATGGATGGAACTGGAGGGTATTAGGCTGAGCGAAATAAGTCAAACAGAGAAAGACATGTATCATATGACCTCACTGA